TCTCGACTTGAGCCCATTCTGTGTTCAACTGAAACGAAGAAGCAGTATAAGTTCACACGACGATTCGCCATTCTGTGTTCAAATGAAACGAAGAAGCAGTATAGATTCAGGCGACTATGGCCCATACTGTGTTCAACTGAAACAAAGAAGCAGTATAGATAAGTTCACGCGACGATTCGCCATTCTGTGTTCAAATGAAACGACGAAGCAGTATAGATTCAGGCGACTATGCCCCATTCTGTGTTCAACTGAAACGAAGAAACAGTATAGATAGGTTCACGCGACCATTCGCCATTCTGTGTTTAAATGAAACGACGAAAAAGTATAGATAGGTTCACGCGACCATTCGCCATTAACGCAGAGACGAGCAGAATATACCACTATGCGGGGAAGCAGCGAGATCTACTACGAACAGAAACATTTTCACGTTGCCGTACCTAGACGTACGATAGACGTACATTGTGCGATTGCCAGCGAGCATATGTNCCCCCCCCCCATGCAATCCGCATCGCTACCCTCCCCCCTCTCCCCGTGCACTCCGCATCGCTACCATCCCTCTCGTGCAATCCCCATCCAGAGCGACTTCACTTGTGCTTCCCGGCGTCTATTATTCAGCAACACTCGCTCCATCAACTCACATTCCACGCACGACAAGTCCATGAACGACATTGTCCGCACGCGAGCTGTTTTCCGTACACGTTAGCGTACACGTACAGTACACGTTAACCGCCAGCAATAGGCCCTACACAACGTCTATGCTTGGCTATCGTACTCAAACATAATTATTTTGTATAAATAATAAATATACAAATAATAAAAATGAATTATAGCCCTTCCACCCAATCATAGGCTACACATAATTTAACCGCGGAAAAATTCTTTTTATTGCGGTAGAAATAATTTAACCGCGGTAAAATTACAGCCCTTTTTACCCAATCAGAGGCCTTGTTACGCATAATTTAACCGCGGATAAATAATTTTTACCCCTGTTAAATTATCCGTTTTTAGCCAATAAGAGGCCTCGTTACACATAATTTAACCGCGGATAAATTATTTTACCCCGGTTAAATTATTAGCTTCTAGCCAATCGGAGTTACACATAATCTAACCGCGAATAATTTTTGTAATTTCTGAGTAAGATGGCCAACCATAAACGCCAGCTGAGACCGCGGAGATGCCTCTCACTCATAGAAATAATATAGATAATATATAGATATATAAGTCTATCTATATTATTTCTATGCTCTCACTCGTTGCCGGTGCAGTGGCGTTCTGATACGGGTTCAAGCACGTCTGCATGTACGCGCATCGCTACAACACTCGCAGACCGTGTGACGCCCCGCATTCAGAGCTTCATGCTCAGCGCAAACCCCCTCCACCACCTCCCCCCGCCTCCCCCCGCTTCTCCCTCCCCCCGCCGACGCCGCCGCCTCCCCCCGCTCACCCCTCGCCCGCCTCCCACTCCCCCTTGCCCTCCCCCCGCTCCCCCCGCCGCCGCCTCCCCCGTCACCCGGTAATGAATAACAGGGCTTTGCGGGGGGAGGGGAAGGAGGGAAGGAAGGGAGGGGGAGGAGGGGAGGGCGAGGGGGAGTGGGAGGGGGCGAGCAGTGAGGGGACAGCCTCGTTCGTCACGATCACATCACGCCGCCATTGATGCTCGTCCGAGCATTAAGAGAATCCGCCCACACCGCATCCGCAGCCGCCCACCCCCGCAACCTCCCTAATCCCTGCCTGCCGCCGCTACTGCTGCTGCTGCTGCTGCTGCTGCTGCTGCTGCTGCTGCTGCTGCTGCTGCTGCCGCCGGCCGCCAAGCGGCCGCCCAGCCAATGCCGCCGCCGCGCCGCGCCGCTGCTGCTGCCTGCTTTTGTCTATCTTATCTATCTTATCTACTACTACTACTACCTACTACTGAACTGCTGCTAGCTTGGCTGCTGCTGCCACTGCTGCTACTGCTACCGCTACTACTACTGCTGCTGCTGCTGCTGCTGCTGCTGCTGCTGCTGCTGCTGCCGCTGCTGCTGCTGCGCGGGGAGATCGCTCTTGATTTATCCGAACTTTGTCGGAAGCTGAGCTGCGGGAGCGAGTGATGTCGACGGCCGGAATTCCGCTGAAAGTGCCGCCGCCGCCGCCGCCG